TTGCCTAATTGGTCTCCTTGCCCGCTGTCTTCCCATTTTAATCCATACTTCAAACTGTTACTGAAATTATCTTCTTAAAATGACAATCTGATTCTTACGGTCATTCCCCAACATTTTGTCTCCTTATTACCCAAAGAATTAAGTGTCTTAGTAGGGCACATGGAACCATTTATGATGAGGCCTAGCCTCCACTCCCATCACTCTTCCACACACAGGTTTCAGCTCTTCTGCCTGATTACCCCCAGACATCCTTATATGGTTTCTGTCTGCTCTAACACCATTTTATGAGAGTTAACTGTTCCATTTTCAGTGCTCATAGAACTCTGCATGTTCTCCTAACACAAACAGCTACCAGCACTAAATGGTATTTTACTCACTCTAACATGTACATTTCCTTCCATCTTAACATTTCTGAAATTAGAATGTGACATAACTAATGGCATCTTACAATGCTATCACCAGAAGGCAGTTGCAAAGTAGTTGTCATAGTCTGCCTGATTATTTCTGGTGGGATGATTAGACAATTGCAAACCCTCAACCTTTTAGACAACCAACCATGTAAAGAAAGGATTTTTACATCATGGTTGTGTTCTGAAAATCCTTCTATTGGATCAAGGAACACTAGCAACACAACTCATAGAATAGATGCTAAGGATTTATAATACCAAAGACAAGAGAGTATCATTTTTTAAAATGTTGCATCACTAATGCCCCTGTTGTCAGAATTCAAGTGTGGAAATATTTTAAATGATAAGAGACTGATGTGACTTGATTAGCAGTGTCCTTACCCCTGTGGTCTTTAGAACACAGTAATCCTTAGAACTCATGGTTTCACTTAAACTGATGAAGTTTAAGTGTATTACCTTGAATTTTCAAAGCAAATGTCTTATATTGTGCCGAAGGTCTGTTGATATATTGTATTCTCGTCTGTTTTATCTGTCTTCTGTCTCTCCATTAGATTATAAAGTCTCTGAGGGCCTACCATAGTGTCTGTCACATATTGGGTGTGCATTCACTATTAGTTGAAAAGAAGACTGCAATGTTCATGTGTTCACAAGAGCAACTGTTCCTCTAATTCTAATCCCCATCTGGATATGACCATTTTCTGGGCTGATTTTGAATGCCTGATACTTCAACTGTTACTGGAATCACTGCTTATTGGAAAAATCTAATTTCTTCTTAGTAGTTCCTACTAGTATTTTTTCCCCTTGGGGATTGATAAAGTATTAGTGTGGCCAAAATTAAGTTTCCTTATACATATATATATTATCTGATTACATTAGGTGCAAGTTTCATATCTGTTTTTTTATGCTGATTACTTTTACACATTTTTTTGAGGTTCTCAGTATCACTAACTATTATGATCTGAAAGGGTAGTATGACAGAGAGCTGAGGAAATGGTAAGGCAGCCAAAAGAAATTTTGTTAGGTTACACATGAGGAACACTAGGTTCATCTGATTATTCTGTTCAGATGGTACATCCAGATACCATAAGCCAAGTCATTGGCACATAATTATTTTTAAACAGTGTTACCCTGCTTAATTGGTTTAAAATAATTTAAAAGGGCTCTGGTTGGCCCTACAAATGACTGTAATTCATCAGTTCTTAATTCTGTTAGAATAGCTCCATTTGAACAATTTAGGCTATTGTTTAAGCCAGAGTCACTATTCCTTCAGAGGTTTCCCGATAATTTATTTCCTTTTGAATTGAGTAAGAGCATTTGGACAGCACTCCTTTAAAAACAGCAGCAAAGAGTAAGTTTTCTCCCACACACTTCTTTTGATTAACTCCCTCCCAGAAAAATCTCCCTTAATCCCCTATACTGCAACAGCACAGGGCTTAGCACACACCCTTCCAACTAGTTTTCCCTCTAGCATTGCAAGAGCTCCCTGTTTCTTCAGTTGAGTATGATGAAATAGTTGGCCTGTATTTAGGGGCCATGTTTTAGAAAAATAAGCCTGAATATAACCTGAATTTTTCTAGAATCACAAATAGAAAATGTGTGAAGTGATTCATGGTTCCCATGTCTTGCTTACTCCAAAGCTCACTGAGGAACAGTAGGAATCTCCAGCACTACTTAGTCTTGTCTTTTTTTTTTTTTTTTGCCAAACATAGTTGAATTCAAACAGTTCAAGCATATGTCATAAATCTATTGTTAAATATAGTGGGTGATCACATTTACAGTATTTTTCCTAATCTTTAATATTAAATTCCTAAAATTTAATAATTTTATTAAAATTTATCTAATTTCTTTAATGCAGTTACTCTAAGGGTATGTGAAGAATACTAGATGCCAGACACATACTTTATTCATTATTCTTGTACATAAAGCATGTAGGTTTGTGTGTGTAGACCTGGTTTTGAACTCAGAGCTTTATGCTTGCAAAGCAGATGCTGTACAGTTGAGCCACACCTCCAGTCCAAGCATGTAGCTCTTAATCAGTATTATTTATAAGATTCAGCTTAAGAACTTAAAACAATGAGATGACCAGGGCCCATCCCAATTCCACTGAATCACTTTCCTCTGGGTATGGAGAATTGGTACATTATTTTTTTAAGCTCTATAGGTGATGCTGATGTGTATGTCTTGGTTAAGAACCATTACTTTAAGCCATCATCAACCAAAAGCTAAACTATAAACTGGAGTCACTAAGAATAAACTTGGCCAATTTCACAATTTTGTCTAGGGACTGCTTGAAAATGTTTCCTGGTTTCTGATTGCCTGTTGATTTGATGCCTATGTATGTCAATTTCTTTCCTGATCTACCTGAGGGCCTTGCCTTCTAATACTTCTGTACTGGAAACCTGATCTTTGATCTCAGGTGCCATTATGAACATGGGTTCTAGTCATATACTCCAGATTGGCCCTCTGGACTTGGTTCTGCTAATCTTTGCATCCAACTCTGTCTCTACTATACACCTGCACTTATGATCCAAGTGTGACAACCTGCCAATACCACTGAGTCAGAGCAGAAAGAAATGTTATGTTTTGATTGGAAAATTATTCCAAGTAATTGTTAATAGGTAAGGTCATTATTGTGTGCTAACCTACTTCAGTAGACTATTTTGATTTCCTTCAAACGCTGCTTTGTACTTGGCACCCCAACTAAAAACTCTCCAACAGACAGAGAAAAAAATTTTTCCTTAGCTGGGAATAAAGGCCCTCTACTGTCTACACCCGACTACTACCTTTCTGGATCTCATACTATTCTTCATGGCTGTTGCTTAGTCTAGCTAAGCTTCACTATTCCCAGGAAGCCATCTGGATGGATTCCCCTTCCTTTACCCATATCGAAATCCTACCAATTCTTTACAGCAGTATTTCTCTAGAAGCCTGAATGATGTACAGGAAAAGAAATTTTTAGGATTCAAGAGTATGTTTTCAGACAGGCAGGGGTCCACAGACAACTAAGCACTGACAGAGAAAGTGACAGACTACTTCTACGAAAATTATGCAATCACTTTAAAAGAAAAATGGTTTAATTTTAAATTTGTGTGTTGTCATAGAACTCTGATTATCCTCTGCTTTACAATCCCAGTTTGAAAAACACTAAAGCACAGACATACTAATCTTGGAAAATGTTCTTTTATCACCCTAAGGTAACAAATTGTTCTTTTTCTTAAACTTTTTAGTACCTAATCACTTTCTGCTATAGAGTAGCTAAGAATGTATAGTGTTTTCTTAGAATACCATAAACTCTTCGAAGGCAGGAATCACATTTTAAAATTTATTTTTAAATTTCCGCCATCCCTAGTCATACCAGGTCCTCATCAAGTATTGGCTGTCAGATCTGTATTCCACCTTCTTATTTTGGGGTTCAGATCTCTTAAAAATATCACACTTCTATGGATCATACAGAACAGCATATTTATTGTCAATAAATTAACAAAAACTTTCAGAGGCTGTCTGAGATATTAGGAAAAGTAACGAATATTGCATTTTTAACAAGTGCCACAAGCCCGTCACTCCTGTGTTAATGTTAATACGAACACTTCATATGATCCGTTGGCAAATTAAGAATTTCAGGACAAAGCACAAAATCCGGAAATGCCCTGTAAATATCTGCATAGTCTTAGAAGGGTTGTGTATGTCCCTAACACAACTTATATTTCTGGCGGTGTCTTACAGTTTTCCCACTAGATCGGACTTGAGGAGTTGACGCCCGACGGCCTTAACCCACGTTTTCCCTCGCCCAGGTTCGGAACAAGGCCAAGACAGGTTACCTCGGCGAGGTGAAACCAGGTTTTCACTTAACATGAGCGTAATGGGTTACGACTATGCTAAATCCCTTTCATTTCTGAAACTGATACTCTTTTTGCCCTAACGCGGCTTGGGAAAGCCCTTTCTTTCGGTAGGACTAGCAGCGTCCTGTCCCTTTACGTTCTGGGGAGGAGGGGGTCATCCCCTATCCAGGGGTCCCCGTCGGCCGCCTCTGGCCCCAGCGGGAGCGAAATGACTGGCGGAGGAGATTAGTCCGGGTCATAAACAACCTCACACTTCCCCTCCCCCGTCCGGGCCCGCCCGCGCTGGGGCCGGCCCTCCGAGGCCCAAGAACCTCCTCCAGCGGCCGCGGCTACCGCGCCTTCCTCTGCCCGGGTGCTTGTTCACTTTACTCAGCTCTCTCCACTCCATCTCGCTACAGCACCACGGATGGAAGCTAAGTCTGGCCTCCATTTCCCTTCCCCCGACCCCTATCACCTCCAACAGCCAAGGAGAGGCCGGCAGCCCTGACGCGCACGCTCACAGTCGCGGCCGTCCTGCGCGCGCCGATGCAGCCCCCGCCCCCACCCCGCGGGCCTTCCGCGGCCCATCCCCGCCCCTTCCAGGAGCCCGCCTCCGCGTCTGCCGGCCCGCCTGCTCGCCCCTCGCGCTCGTTCTCGCGCGCACCCGACGCCCCGCCTCCGCGCGTGCTCAATAACCGTCCCCAGAGCCGGCCTACAAGCTTCCCCCGCCCCTGAGCTGTTTGAATATGCTAATAAGAGACTGTGTACTAGCCAATAGAACAGCGGGGCGATGCACACGTGGCTCGGGGACGTGTCAGGGGGCGGAGTCTATGCAGCCCCTGCCCGAGTTAAAACCGGAGTGTGAGAGAGAAAAGCGCTTCAGTAGCGAGAGGGGCTGAGAAAGTGGTGACACCGCCGGGGTGCGGAGGGAGTCCGTGAAACTTCTCCCAACAGCCCCAGGGCCAATCTCCCCTCAGCCCACTCCCCTCTTCGCCAGCGCTCTTGTCCCCACTCCCTGCACCGGGGGTGGGGTGGGGAGCCAGGCCCGTCTCCCGCGGGGGCACACACAGGGGCCGGGAGCGGGGACGGGACCCCCAGGCTGGGGGGACGGACCGACAGACAGACGGCCGGGCGCCCGCCCCAGCGGGCAGGCAGGCAGGAGGCGGCGGAGGCGGGGGTACGACGGGGAGGACTGGGTCTGGGGAGTTTCCTCTCAACTATCGGGGGAGAAACTCCCTGCAGCCGGAGGAAAGACCCAGACGGTGTTTTCCTCCCGGGGGCCGCGCTCCCCAGCCCCGCGTAGCGGCGGTCGCCGCCGCCGCCACCGGTGCTTCCACCTCTGCCATCTCTTTCTCCACCACCTCGGGCCCCGGTGTCCCCGGCCAGCACTATGCCCATCTTACTGTTCCTGATAGACACGTCTGCCTCTATGAACCAGCGCAGCCATCTGGGCACCACCTACCTGGACACGGCCAAAGGCGCGGTAGAGACCTTCATGAAGGTACCGACTGACCGAGCCCGGGCGGCGACCCCGACCCGGTGGCCCGCGGGCGGCAGGGTGTGGAGGGGGGGAGAGGAGGGCGGCCGGGGGCGGCGGGGCGGGAGGTGTCGGGGGGAACCTGACTGCGGGCGCTGCCGGGCTCGGGAACCCCCTCCCCCACCGCGCGGGCGGGCGGGCGGGCGCTGCGAACGGGGCTCGGCCGGGCCCGGGTTCCGGCCCCGGGGCGGTGTGTGCGGGGAGCGATCTGTGTGAGGGGGGCGGCGTGGAGGGGCGGCCGCTGCGTGTGCGGTACTGGGGGGGGGCGGCGGGCCGCGGGGCGCCCCTTCTCCGCCGGGTAACCTCGCCTGTGTGCTTCCCTGTCTCCCGCCCCGTTCCTCCCGTCCCGCAGTTGCGTGCCCGGGACCCTGCCAGCAGAGGAGACAGGTATATGCTGGTCACTTTCGAAGAGCCGCCCTATGCTATCAAGGTAACAGCCCTCGCCCTCCCCCTTCCCTTCCTCCCTTCCCTGTTCCTTCCCCGCTCGCCCTCCCCGCCCCCCCATTCACCCTTCATTATGCTCCCCTCCCCCACACGCCGCTCTCGCGGCCGCCCCGGCCTCTTCCCCTGCGGCCTCGCACCCCCTCCCCCGCTTGGGAGCGTCCTGGCGCGGCGCGGAGTCGCGGGGCCACCGCCGTCCCCTCCCCGGCCTGGCCCGGCCCGGCCCTGCGGCGGTGGCGGCGGCGGCGCTGCGATCAACATGGCCGACATTTCCCCTCCGCGGCGTGAGCGGCAGCAATGAACTGTGGGGGATATTTATTCAAGTTAGCCCGAGTGACAGCGGGCCCGGCCGCGCCGAGCCCCGGTTTGCATTAAAGGCGCACCGGCCCGCGGGGGGTCGGAGGCCCAGTGGGCCCGGCAGGCGGGGGTCCTAGGAGGGCCGGGCCAGTGGGACAGCCCCGGGTCCGCTCCGCAAGTCCTGCCGAGGCCGCCCGCCCTCCTCCGCACCTCCGCACCTCCACACCCCCCAGTTTTAGGGTAGGAGTTAGGTTTATTTCCCGGGGAAGTTGTAAAGTATTGGGGTTGCACACCTAACGCTGTAGAGCAGGCAGGTGTGTGCTCCGCCACCTTTGCAAGAGACAGTCCACACACAGCAAGATGCAGTCTTAACACGGTGACCAAACCACAGCAGCCAAGAGTGAAGTTAACCAGAGCGAAGCACCTGCTTGGTGAACATCACATCATAACTGGCGTTCAAAGTTGAAAAAAAAAATGCTTACATTTTTCTTTTCAGGCCGGGTGGAAAGAAAACCATGCAACGTTTATGAATGAACTGAAAAACCTTCAGGCTGAAGGACTTACGACTCTTGGCCAATCCCTAAGGACAGCTTTTGATTTATTAAATTTAAATAGATTAGTAACTGGCATAGACAACTATGGGCAGGTAGGTTGAATATTAAGGTGGAAAAATAGTTTTTTGTGTGTGTGTCTGTGTGTGTGTGTGTGTTGTGTGTGTGTGTGTGTGTATGTAAAAACACAATCCAGACCAGAACTGTAGCACATGAAGTGCAAGTGTAAAACATTTCAGATTGAAATACAGTGTGCGCATAGTTCAAAGGTAAAACTCCCTGGGGCATATGGTTTTATGTCCCTCACTTCCCCTCTTAAGAAGGCTTTATATTTAGGGTTAGAAATTGAATTCTTTGCCTTAAGATGACATGAATTTGGTTTCAGTCCCTTCCCAGTTCATTAAAGATACAAAGGGAAAACCCCCTACCCCAGCATACTCACTCTGATCCTCCACTTGTAGGTATATGTGTGACTATTGAAATGGTCTTACACACAATAGTTGGTTAATGGTCTTCATTTTTATATTAGTCACTAAAGATGTTAGAGGAAATTATTCCTCCTGTTCCATTTGTCAGGGTTTAATCTATTGTGTAACTATTCTGAAAGGTAAGAGTTTCACTACAGTAACAGGCTGAGTACCTTTTTTGTCCTCTTTTGAAGTATATACCATTAGTAAGTACTGCAGGGGGAATTGTAAATTAAATGACAGGTTCAAAAATTTGGTTTTTATTTTTGAACTCTACACCCGTGGAAAAAAGGTTTTCTGGAAAAGAACCATTGCTTCCTTAATTTAAGTCCCTGTCTTGTGTTTATCTATTTGAGGATGAGCCAAGAGCTTTGAATCACATAGTCATTTACTAAGGAGTACTGTGAGGTGGTCCATTATAACTTGTTATGCTTTTGCTATCCTGAAAATAAAAGAAAGTGTAATGTTACATGGAACAGGAATTTCCCTGACTCTTAATGTTGTATTGCAAAGCACTATTACCATAACTATAATACTTAGGTATACATATTTTGTTTCCCAAGTTCCATAGTTCACAGTTTTCATGAGTTCCACACATTTCAGGGAAGTTCTTCCAGTGAATACAATTTTTAATTTGCTTTATATAGAAGGAAGTGAAATTGTTCTCTTGTTTAAGAAGTTTTCCTTTGGATAACTTCAGCACTTAAGCATCTTTAAAAATGGTTGAACTTAGTCCTATAGCATTTAGGTGTACATTGCAATTTAGAGTGACTTTTGAACTGTACTTCAGTCATTAATTAGGTAAACATGTATTTTCTTACCACATTAATTTTTTTCCTTTATCTGTGCTGCTTTATTTTGCAACTCTTTGCAACTTTTTGGTCTGTTTCAGTAAAATAATCTCTCATTTCTTTGTTGTGTGTAGAGCCTACACAGTCGTATTGCTTAAGCCTTTGAGCCAAACTTTTGAGTTCAACGACATATAAACTTGCCCTCACCTTATTTGGTTGTCAGTGTATAGCAGAACTACTAATTTCCTATTTTTCTGCATCACATTTCATAAGTAGGAAAGGCATTTGAACACATTCACCTCCTACTACATGTTAAAAATATTTCTTAAGGTGCTTCCTTAGAAAAATTACTTGTGGAGAAGTTGAAGACGTTTGTAACTTTAATCTTTGTTTCCCTTTTCCCAGTTGCTATCATCCACCAAAGCGCACTTTAGTTCTTGTCTGCAAATCTTAAAAAAAAATAAAAAGTGTGAGGTGGAAAGTGGTCCTGCTGTGTTGTTACCACTTTCACCAAAAGAAGATACTGGAGATCGGGATGTTTTTGCATCTTAGGGCTTATTACTTTGACGTGGGCAGAGATAATGTGCCTCAGTTATTTTGATGAATCAGCAGGATGAAGGGAACAATATTAGTCATTACCTCTTGACTCGGCACAGCAAAATGAAACTGGCATTCAAATAATTTAAGAAGTCACAATTTCTGAATGAAAATGATTGAGTAAGGTGTTCAGTTACAAGAAAACTTCCAGATAAATTTTTTTCATCATAAAACTTTTTCTTGTTGATAAAAGTATTTCATAATTTTTACTCATACAAAGGATAAACTAGGATTTTTTAGATATCAAATATTTAATACTATAGATATATTTTCTTCCTTGTACAAATACTTTGTTTTCTATGGAATATTTATATTATATATATATATAGCCCTTTTTTGGGGGACAGTACTGATGTTTGAACTCAGGCAGGGCCTTGTGCTTGCTAGGCAGGGGCACATGACCAGCCATTTGTACTTCAGTTATTTTTCTAATAGGGTCTCTGGTTTTTGCCCTGGCCAGCCTGGACCATGACCCTCCTATTTATGCGTTCCATGTAGCTGGGATAACAGACACACACCACCACGCTCAACTTAATTGTTGAGATGGGGTGCTCAAATCATAGTATTCCTGATTTCTGCCTCTTGCCTTCTGAGTAGCTGAGATTACAGGCATGAACCACTGTACCTGTCCAGTATCAGGGTTTTCATGTAACTATTTCATGCTGCATACGAGGGTCTGTGAAGTTCCCAGACTGAATAATTACATGAAATCTCAGTGGAAAGGAATAAGGAGAGGTGAGTTAGATGGAAGATGGAGCAGCATTTAAAAAACCTTATATAAGCTTCTGAGTTATTTTCTTAAACATCTTAAATATGGATTAATACATTTATATTTGTGTTAGCAATGTATATTCACATTGCTAACCACCTCCCCAAATATAGGCACATGTGATTTGCCATAACCATTTGCAAGATCATTAATACCAATATTGTACTTATTTAGTTAGTATATTTAATTCATTAAATATTAGCTAGGGTTCTCTTAGAATTTGTAGGACATCAGTAAGATTAAAGTAGCTCAGAAAAAAAAAGTTGAGTCTTAGTGTTATCCTTAAGCAATTGGCTATCCTACAAAAAATTTATCTGCCTATAGAAGGTTCTTATAAATATTTAATTTTGGTAATGCGTACCATTTGCTGATATTTTAACAGTCATAGGACAATGTGTAGCCTCTAGTTACTATTTCCCTTTATAGCAGCTTTCATTAGATTGCTTATCATTGCAGATAAATTTGATAATTTTTTTCTCCACATATTCAACAGTTTGAAATAATGCTGATCCTTTAAGAGCCACTAAAAATTTGAACCAGTTCAAGTAGCTAAAATTAGAAGATGTAGAAAGTTTGAGAGATCTTATTAAAATTTTATATGTAGATTGTTTATTTTTATATTGTTTCAAGTTACTCTGGTTTCTATTAATGTTCTCAATACTCTTTTTTTTTTTTTTTTTTTTTTCCATCTGTTCGGTTCCAGTAAGGAACCTACTAAATCTTACTCTGGATTTTAAGTCATTTTTGTCACTGGCCTGATTCCACATCCCCACTCCCCAACACACTAGTGTTAATTAGATTAACACACCTATTGTGTGCCCTTGGGAAAGATAAACCTTGGTCCATATGAAATAAATGTTTTAATTTATTGAGGGTTTTAAAGGCTGAGCTTTTACTTCATTGAAAAGTGATGGCTTTTGAGTAAGATCAAGTTGTATGATTCTTAGTGGTTTTTTTTTGGTACTGGGGTTTGAACTCAGGGTCTCATGCTTGCTAGGCAGGTGCTGTCCCACTTGAGCCTCTGCCAGACATTTTTGTTTTGGATATTTGAGGGTCTCTCAAACTGTTTGCTTGGGATAGCTTCAAACTGTGATCCTTCTGATCTCTGCCTCCTGAGTAGCTAGGATTACAGATGTGAGCTACTGCTAGCAAGAACAATTTTAATCTAGTTGTTCTTGAGCATAAATGCCTGTGAATTTAGCAGCAGACGATCCAGGGGGAGTTCTAATACTGTTTCTTCCCTTTACCCAAGTAGTACCCATTTAATACACAAGTAGCACAGAAGAGAGGCTTTTCTTTCAATATTGGTGGTTGAAGTAATGAAAACTTGATTCCCATTTGGGTGTTTGGTTTTCCTTAGTCTATCAACAAATACTTTGGTATTCATTTAAGCTATAAAAATCTTTTCAAGTGAAAGTAAATTAAGATACATGAACATACTATGGTGCTGGATATAAACTGGAAATAGTGAATTATAGTGCTGGGTATTGAAGGTGGGTCGTCATGTGTGCTGGGCAAGTGATTCTACCACTGAGCTCCACCTGCAGCTCTATTCATATTCCTTAATTAAGAAAAAATTACTGTGATGAAAAAATTTTGCATTTTTTAACAATTTTTAACTGTATAGTTCAGTAGTATTAACATTGTTGTGCAACCAATATCCAGTACTTTTTTGCCTTGCAAAACTGAAACTGTATACCCATTAAACAATAACTTCCCATTCCACCCCTCCCCACCGCCCATACCTTTGGGATCATTATTCTACTTTGTGTTTTTACAAGTTTGACTATCCTGATACCTCTTACTAGTGGGATCATATTCATACCGTACAGTTTGCCCTCCCCACCTATGGCTTAAATGTCCATGGACGAGCAATTCATGATTGAATCCATGAATTCAACCACTGATTGAAATATTTGGAAAAAAGTTTTATTTATACGGGACATATACAGACTGTCTTGCCATTGTTTCCTAAACAATATAGCAACTATTTATATTGTGTAGGTATTATAAATAACCTAGAGATGATTTCAAGTAAATAGGAAAACGTAGGTTACATGCAGATAGTCAGGTCCTCCCCTCCCCTATGATACTACCTTTCCTCATGGCTGCGAGTTGATATTTCATTGTGGTTTTTATTTGCATTTCTCTAAATTGTTATTTATATTGAGCATCTTCCCATGTTTATTAGCTATTTATTATATATTGTCTTTGGAGAAATGTCTGTTCCAAGTATTTTGCCCATTTTTTGTAGGAATTCTTTTCTCTTTTGAGACAGTCTCACTATGTAGCTGAGGCTGGCCTGGAGCTCCCTATCCTCCTGCCTCTACCTCCTGAGTCCTGGGACACACAGGTGTGTGCCACCTGTAGGATTTCCATATGTGTTCTGGATATTAACACCTTATCATATAATCTGTACATATTTTCTCCTATTTTATGGTTTGCATTTTTACTCAGTTAATTGTGTCCTTGGGTGCACAGAGGTTGTAAATTTTTATGTAGTACAGTTTACTTTAGTTGTCTTTGCTTTTGGTATCATGTCTACAAAGGCTTATTAAATTCAGTATTATTGGAGTTTTCCTCCTGTGTTTTAAGAATTATAGTTTTAGATCTTAATGTTTAGGTATTAAATATTTCAAGCTAATTTTTGTATGTGACGGAAGGATGAGGATCCTTTGTTGAAATGAATGCCCTTTCCTTATTAAATGATCTTGGCAGGTCCCTAAACTTTAAGCTACTTCAAAATTGTTTTTAATGATTACTGATGGAGAGGGGACTTCATAGTAAGCTTTGTGTTTTCTCTTCTATATTGTATAAAAGAAGAGCAATGGCTAGAAATGTAAGAATTGGAGTCTTAATCTTGCCATTGAATTGCTATGTAACGCTGAACATTGGACATTACTGCCTTCTGCCTCTGCTTTTTATTCCAAACTGGCAATAATGAAACCATTGCACCCATATAGTTGTAGAATAGTTGAAAAATTTAAATGGAATATACATTTAAAACACCCTTTAAAAATTAGGACGTCTCTGTAGGCACAAAGCATATAGATGTACCTCACCACACCTAGCTATAAGGCATACTTTAAAAAAAAATTAGTCTACCGTTTTTTTTTTTAGCTTTAAATTTGAAATTACAATTATAAAAGCTTACTGAGATGTAAAGTTGATTTTTATTACTTACTTTGAAATCTATTAGCAGCTTACTGAGTTTTTTTTTTTCTCCCTGGAACTTTGTATTTCATCCTAGGGAAGCAGGTGTGAAACAAATGTAAATAAATTAACTTGGCCAGAGTTGTCTTAGTGGCAGTTGTTAAAGAATTGTGTTAAATGAAAACATGGGATAAAGAACTAGGCTGGCATTTAAAAAGAAATATGTTAAATGAAAGCTGGATATAAGTACTTCAGTGGGTAAGTCAAAAATTAGAGAAGAGCACATGCTTTAGTATTCTTTCAAATAGGGAGCTCCCCCTAGTGCGTTTAAGATGAGATTTCCACAAGTTTGATTTGCAAGCAACATCTTAGGAGCATATCTCTTAGGCAGATGAAGGGATATTTTTATAAGATTTGACTGAACTCAGAATAGCATGAAGTGATTTATTTCCGATTGAATATTTGTTTATTTATTTAGAGACAGGCTCTTGTTATGTAACCCAGGCTAGCCTTGAACTTTAAGATCCTCCTACCATAACCTCCCTTGAACTGGGATTACAGCTGTGTACCACCATAACTAGCTGAACATTAATTCTATTGGTTATTTAAAATGTACTTCAAGACCTGGATTTTATTTTCTTTTAAGACACTTTCTGTAATATTTCATCATAATTTTATACTCTTAAGTTTTTTTTAAACCTAAAAAATTGCCTGAGCATGATATATCAGGAAAATTAAAAATAGTATACTGTGGATATCATTACATTCTTAATTAGAAATCATCCAAGCAAGTCCAAGAAGCAAAAATTATAGATGCTACTTTCATGTAAGAGAGTGTCACTAATTATGGATAGAGTTATATACAACTGAAAACTAAAAGACCAGGAACAAGTCTAAATATTTCAATGAAATAATTCCACTTACTCATGTATTTTGAATTGATTTAAGGTTATTTATGATTAGAATTAGCTAAAAGAATTGGTGTGATATGTTCATACCCTGTATTCAAAGAAATTATATAATTTGAAATATTTCTTAAATATTTTTATGTCATAACCTTCACTGGTATTTATGCTCTAATTTTTATACTCTAGTTAAAATTGTGTGCTTTTTTTTTTTTTTTTTTTAAGTTGACCGGTACCCACATATGGTCTATTTTCCTCCACTTAATAAAAGCAATTTCCTTATATAAGCTTTATGTTAGCCATGTTATTAATCTGTATAATAACTCAAGCATATTTTATAGACTATAAACAAAATAATTGAAGTTTTGTTTTTTAGTTTTGCT